GTGACGTCCGGAGGTCGGCGCGCGTCGGCGCGGCGCGCGGGCGGCGGCGGCGGCGCGGCGGCGGCGGGAGAGTTCGAGGTAGCGGGCGAGCGGCCGGCAAGCGTCCGCGGCTGGAAGCAGCGCGGAGCCCAAGAGGCAGAGCGGCGGCACAGGCGGAGTCAGAGCTGGGCTGGGGATGCGCCTGAGAGAGCACGGGCGGAGATGCGCTGCTCCGCACGGCCCCTCCAGCTGCCGCAAAGCCTGGCTTCTCCTCCGGACGAGAGAGCCCGCCACTCGGCGCGCCCTCCGCCTCGATGGGGCGCTGCCAAAGCCGGGCTTCTGCTCCCCGGCGCGCTTCCTCTCTCCCAACTTGAGGCAGTCCTTTGGCTTTCCGTCCTGCGTCGCCTCCCTTTTCTTCAGGGCCCCCACTGCTCCGGCTCTGTGGTAGTCAACAGGAATCCCGTGGTTCAGAAAGAGTAAGACCTGTTCCAGAGATGTTGCTCCATATTTTACCCCCTCCTTTTTTCCACTCCCCCATATCACTGAAAGCTCTTTAAACAGCCCAGTTTCAAAGTCAGACTCACTGTCGCTAATGAAGCTTCCTTCTAACGGCACATCTCATTCGGCACGTTGTCTTAATTTACTGCATAAACGAATCAAATTTTAAACCAGGCAGCCGTCTCTTATCCCTGAAACAATTTACATCAGTGATTACCAGGAATATCAGTATATTTATATCAATAATTCAGTATCTCGTTTTACATTGCAGCAGAGCAAGATACACCAGTCCAGTCTCACCAAAGTTGTAACCTCCAGGTGATGTTCTCACCTGTTCCACTCAGTGCCAGAGGATATTTTCAGGGAAGTGGATGAAGCAATCTGAACTAGTGTAACCAAGACTGATTTTTTTTTTAAATTGAATTATGTTAACTCAGATCTCTCGCAGTATCTTAAAATATAACATATAAACTAAAACTCATTATTATACTGAGTGCGATCCTAATTGCACTTACCAGAGAGTAAATTTCACTTAATTCAACAGGTAGAGATTGGATGCAGGATAATCTTTAATCAATGGCAGTCTGAATAGTAAAGAAATGTATAAAAAGTAAGATTTAAAAAAAATATATTATGGCTAATTAATTCAGTCTGTCTGCAGACTTGATTAATGATTCAGTGACAGACTGCTTGTAAGGACCCACCTTCCCTCAACCCCTCTGTTTGGTCAGTCAAGGGAAGAGGATGATGAGAAGAGTGTGGGTTTATGACTGTGGTGTGCCTGCCAAACATTCATCTGAGCATCTCCTTTGTGATAATGCTGAGCAGACCAACAACTCAGGGGGGTGGATGGGTGGGGATGGATAACTCACTCATCTCTCTAAATTCTGTGCAAGTGAAAATAAATTCAAATAGGCTTATAGATCCTTATATCCTTCTGGACTGTTTTAGTCCCAGTAGATTTTTATTCTTCCTGTTATTGAACAATTGTATGTGCATGTATATTGCAGCTGATTTATTGCATTGTCAGAAAATGAGGGCCCTCTTGTTCGATCAAACCAAGAATCATCTAGCATTCTTTTGCCAACAGCTAGATAGATCTTAGTGAAACTACCAAGAGTTATGATGTTACTGAGTTGCAGAAAGACTTGAGTTATTTCAATGGAGAACAGATGCATCAATGGCCATAGGCTATGACATTTGTACTCTATGTATAGAGGCAATATATCCCTGATCAGCAGAGGCTGATGATAAAAGCAAGGTATAATTGTGATGGCTCTTTGTATTAGTTCAGCTTCAGCATCTGATATCAGATGTTTCTATTGAATATGGAAATTCAGTTTGGGGAAAGATCAGATATATCTTATATGGACAAGGTCCAAGGTTCAGTCTTTGACACCTACAGTTAAAAGGCAACAAGTAATGAGGAAGACTTCTGCCCTTAGACTATGCTAGGATAAAGTAGCTAAATAGATCAATCAATCAATCAAAGGCACCACTCATCGGAATGAACAAGAGGACCTCAGATACAGCAAGGTGATTTACCACTTGGATAGATCTTAACAGAGGGAGTATTTTTGAAGGAAATCATAAATGCCATTCCATCCTGTATTCCTTAACTTTACCACCAAGCCTCAAAATCCATTAACAGTTCTTTCTGCTCTTTCCCTGTGGAGGAAGAATATGGAATTGGACTGCATCAGCAACTGCCAGGGTCAAGAAAATAATTTATCCCTTCCACAGCAATATATTTCCTATATAAATAACATCTTCATGTGGATTTTACTTATAAACTATTTTGGATAGTAATCTTAGATGAAAATCTGATTTAGTTTACAATACAATTATCTAACCTGTTGTGTAATGGGCTCTTGCAAATTTTGGTACCATGTTTAATAAGGACAACCACTTCACTAAGGATATAAGAGACTTTGCATTTCGGCTATGTTGGGCACAAGAGCACTCCAGAACAGAAATGTAGGGTTTTTCTGGGAAAGATAGATATGCCAATAGTCCTTATAAGACTGAAACCCTCCTGCACCCCCTTGATTATGAAGATACTTGATACATGAAAGCCTTTGTCCATTGTGCTTGTCTAGGTCTACAGCAAAGGTATCAATGCATAATGTGACAAGGGATTCGTTGAATTATTATTGTTGTTATTACTGTTACAACCATGTTGGTCTAATGCAGATGCTCTTCTAGAAAAATATCAGCAGGTTCTTGGCCCACTTTATTTATGACAGTTCCTCTGAAATCAATAAAATCAGTCATGTACACCTACATTAATGAGATAACTCCCATGCACTCACAAATTACTCCTCCCCAAATGCTTATTGCAGTAATGTTTTAAGCTGTCATCAGATGGTATTTAATCTGCTTCTTTTACATCATATATCACTCTTCCCTAACTTTCCCATCCCTTCCATCCTTCTTAGCTATTCTGGGAGTTGAAAGTCCAATCTGGAGAGTGCCAAATTGAGGAAGGCAGCCTTAAAGCATTCACTGACTTTATCTTTTCAATCTAGTGTTCTCATTTTTTATCCCTGGGATCTAGTATTGCTTCTTACCTGTCCTATTCTCCAACATTCCCAAGTAATTTTGGGGCACCTCATGTCTTATACCTATTTTATACATCACACTTTTAAGATGTCTGCCTAAGTGGCTAACTACACATCCCATACAAGTCTTTATAAGGAAAATAAGCTTTGCAAATTTTGCAATGAGTAGTGAAATACAGTATGTCTGTTAGGGGAGAAGAGAGAGAGAGAGAGAGAAAGAAAATGAGACAGAAGGCTGATTAAAGCTTTATTTGTTATTTCTATATTTTATATAATTCCTTACATTGTTTTCCTTATTGGGTCAAAGTATATACTTTTTCCTTAAATTTAAATTTTGGCTGGGGGGAACCATTGGGGAGGGGGGTAATTTAAACTAGAAATATGACAAGTGGAGAAGATCAATGTGCCCTTTTCCTCATTGTTTAAAAAGCCCAAACCAATCCAATCAATCAGCTGAAAAGCTGCCCAGAGATAATCCACTGAATGTATTGTGTACTTGGCCTCAAAGATTTTAGATGTATATCTAAAAGTGTGAAGTGTTAGTGGTGTACAAACATTTGCACTGCACAGTTTAGCACATTGGGAAGCCAGATTTTTTTGTGGGTTAATATCAAGCTTTCCTGACAGGTAATGGGTGAAATGATTGAAGAGACAGTTCTACTTACTGTTGTACTATCCCAACACTTATCTGGAAAACTATTTTCAAATGGGTGGTGTGTATAGAAGACCCAAGGATGCCCCAAGCACCCTAAATTAAGGTATTGTATCACATATTAGCCCACCTCAAGTTTATCAGTTCTTTCAGGATTGGGCCTAAGTCTTAGTCTATAACAGAATCTTGTAAATCCAACTCAGAGATTGAACAGAGTCACTGATCTCTGAGACTTTGATAAGTAATAACTCATACACAGGTCTAGCAGAAGTATCTTGCCTAAGAGAACCAAGAAATAACTCTCTATTCTGACCATGGGAGGTCCTCCAGGGCCTCCCAACTTCCAAGAACATGATCACTGATGAGTCAGTTCAGAGGTGCACAACTAGACAGGTGACTGTTTAGTAGCATGGGCTCTAAAATTCATTATAATGCACAGAATTCACCCAGAATAAAAACCTAATTTCAGTAATTATGAATCTAGTATGGGAAGATGTAATATACAACATTAGAAAACATCACTTACTAGTATGGCACAACTGTCTTCCAGATCACCTTCCAGGTTCAGCCATAATTCCATGGGGAGTTAGTCCAAAGCAAAGCAAAAGCATCAAGGTGGGGAAGGCTGTTCTAGGTCTATGGCTAGGCTTCATTTCCCTTTTTGTTATACTGAGTCAGACCACTGGCCCACTTTACTGCAGCTGACTGTGGCTCTCAAGGGTTAAAGCAGAACATTTCTTCAGTCAGTCCTGATTAATTTTATTAAGCTGCAGAGTCTGAACCTGGACTGTTCTGGTTCATGCAAACATGTACGGTATCACTTGGATATGGTTTCTCTTCAGTGAGCATTCTGAGTTTTTTTGCTTTGTCTTTAGAGCAGAAGTGGGCAAAAAATGGCCCTCTGGCTACAGGTAGTCCTCATTTAGGGACCACAATTGGGAGTGGCAACTTGGTTGTTAAGCAAAGCGGTTGCTAAGTAAAACTGCAACTGTGCTTATGATCTTACTTCAGCTTTCCTTTGCTTTACAGACCTGCGAAGGTCATAAATGTGAGGATTGGTTGTAACATTACCACCTTGCAAAACAAGGACTACTTGCCTTGTTAAACTCCAGCTTCCCCTACCCAGCATGGCCAATGATCAAGCATGGTGGAAGCTGTAGTTGTACAACATTGCCCATTTCTGCTTTAGACTGCAGCAGA